ATTTGAGTCCCAAAAAGCCGGACATGTCCGGGAAAATCCGGACGTATGGTAACCCTACTGGTTGCGAGCCTCCCAACCTGGGTAGACAGACGCTCACTACCAGGGCTTGAACTTAATTAGCTCAAAATAGCAGTCTGGACGTTTCAGCTCAGTCTGCAGCTCGGACTTTTAAGTCTAGGGGAACGCATGAGTGTGACAGCCCAAGCTCCAGCCACAACATCCACACAGCGTGTGTCCACCTGTGCTGAGAGAGACTCCCTTACCTGCAGTGTAGGCATATCCTCGGGCTTGTCTACACATAAACCCCTACAGTGGCACTGCTCCAGCTGCACTGCTGTAGCGCTTCAATGAAGACACTATCTGTGTTGATCAGAGGGGTTCTCCTATCTGCATAGGGACTCCACTTCCCTGAGAGGTGATAGGTAGGTCGACAGGAGAATTCTCCCGTCAACTTAATGCCGTCTAAACCAGGGGTTAGGTTGGTTTAACTGTGTCACTCGCAGGGCCAGATTAACTCTTCTGTGCCCCGGGCCTATTAGATTTTGTGGGGCCCCTGTATACAAGTATTTTTCCTGGGAGGGAATTTGGTGCATAAGGGGGCTGGGGCAGGGGACTGGGGTGCAAGAGGGGGTGTGGGGTCTGGGAAACAGTTTGGGTGCAGAAGGGGATTCTGATCTGGGGCAGGGGGTTGAAGGTGGAAGAGGAGGTCCAAAGTGCAGGCTCCGCCAGGAGGCATTTACTACAGGCAGCTCCCAGGCTGCGGCGCAGCGGGGCTCAGGCAGGCTGCCTACATGCTGTGGCCCCACGCTGCTCCCGGAAGCAGCTGCGGGGAGGGGGACAGCATGTCTCTGTGCATTGCCTGCTCCCACAAGTGCCGCAACCGTAGCTCCCATTGGCCGCTCCCATTGGGAGTGCAGGGATGGTGCTGAGGGCGGGGCAGCATGCGGAGCTGCCTTCCCCCCACACACACACCAGGGGTCACAGAGACGTGCTAGCAGCCAGCGCTTCTGGGAGCAGCGTGTGGCCAGAGCATGCAGGCATCCTGCCTGAGCCGCCCCGCTGCGCTGTGGGACTTTTAGCAGCCCGGATTTGGAGATTTATTTTTGCGGGGCCCCCCTTGAGCCAGGGTTCTGGGCGGCAGTCTCTAAAGCCCCTGCCTTAATCTGGCCCTCGTCACTCGGGTGTAGATTTTTCAACCCCCAGAGAGACATAGTTATATCAACCTAATTTCCTAGTGTAGACCAGGCCTCAGTGCCAGTTCTGTCATCCTTGTGTTGACTAGTACCATATTGTGCAAGTAGCCCCGTTGAAACTTGTGGATTATTCAGTCTAAAGTGCTGCTCAGTGTGAGTAAAGGTGCCAGAATCTAGCCCTAAGTAATTCCAGTGGAGGCTAAAGAAAAGATTTGTGGGAAATGTAACACAGTGTAAAGAACTTAAAACAATTTTCATATAATAGAAAGATTTTGTTGGAAAAGAAAATTACAATGTAAAGTGACTTGTAATTACACCTTTAATGAATATTAATACACCTTTTAAAAGGAGTTTTCCTTTTTTAATTTTTTTTTTTTAAACACCAGATAAAAACCAAGACGGTGGCCCAGTGTGTAGAGTTTTACTACACATACAAAAAACAAGTGAAAATTGGTCGGAATGGGACCTTAATCTTTGGGGACATTGATGCCACTAATGAGAAGTCTATGAAAGATGAAGCTGAGGTTGATATCAAGGTAACCACCCAACCCCCTGGCCTGCTTTTGGCTTCGGTGCGAAATGCAAACTTCATAGACTGAATCACAGTTCACTCTTTATAATTTTACTGATGCTACATATACATAAGAAATAATAAATATTGTCCTAACTGTTGCATAGATTCCTTAAGTAATTGTCTGATTAGAAACGCTTGTGTTTCTAAGGCCATGTCTACACTGCCACTTATATTGGCAAAACTTTTGTCGCTCAGGGGTATGGAAAAAAACACCCCCTTGAACGACATAAGTTTTTTGCCAGCGTAAGTGCTGGTGTGCACTGCGCTATGTCAGTGAGAGATGCTCTCCCGCCGACATAGCTATCGCTGCTCGTTGAGCTGGTTTTATTGTGTCAACAGGAGCGCTCTCTCCAGTCGGCATAATGCGGCAACATGAGTGCTCTTACAGTCCACTAGGCTCAGCCTCCTATCCTTTTTCACATAATTACCTCGACCTGCCATAGAGCTGAAGCTTGAAGAAGAAAATACTAACTGTGTCTCTTTATCATTTCTTCTTGTCAAGAGTTCCCATAGGTTTGCACGTGTTCTTCCTCCCAGAAAGGAGAATTACAGTGAGGAACATACGCACGTGGAGGAGGTGTCTGAGAAGGAGGAAGAGTTGGATGACAGGAAGAGCACAGTGCCTCCCAAGGCCACGCAGACACTACAAGCCAATGAAGTGGTCAGTGTTGCACTGAGTTGCATGTGCTTCCCCCCCACCAGTCCTTTCTACACCCCTGGTTAACAGTTTGGAAAATGTTGAATAAAGATAGACAGTTCCAGACAAAGTATCTTCAGCTTTAACTTTTCCTGGTGGAAGGAGCTTGAACTGGAAAACTCTGAGTATTACCAGCATCCAGATGGCGTTCTATATGACTTGATGGGCAGGGAGAGATGGTGACTAAGAATGTGATGAAATCCTACACAATGCCCTGGGACTGGTGCTCGGAGAGGAGGATGAGTGGCGCTAGAAATACCAGAGAGAGTTTCTCATTAGGGATGGCTTGGATTGGAATACTGTGGGGTCAGAGTTCAGCCAGCAGCCTTTATTCCAGAGATGCCTCATTTTCAGTTTGCTTTAACAACTGTCTCTTTGCCATGTAGGTCAATGAGATCCTTATTTCAAGAACCGAGGAGTCTAATGCCCCAGGGGAAGCCAGCAGTAGGACTGTAAGGAAGCCTAAGGAGGCAGCAGTGAAGCCTCAAAAGACTTCTCCCCCAGTACAGAGGAGGAGACGGAAACCAAAGCCAAAACCAGACACACCCAGTAAAGCTCAGAACCAAGAGAACACGTTTCCATGTAAAAAATGTGGCAGGTAAGAGTAAATGCATTGACAATGACAATCACAGGAACGTTGTACAAAAGGAACATTAGCTTGAGAAGCAGTTTTTGTGGAGATGTACAATAAATTGTTGGAAATGGAGGCAATAATATGAACAGCTTACCACCACTGGTGCTGTCTTTCAGATTAGATCTTAAAAACAGTTGGTCCTTAATGACTCAAGGTTGTCAAAGGTCCCATAGTAGTTTTCATAATCATGGGCATATTAACCCAAGTGCCCTGAACAGATTACAATTTGGATGATCACATTCTGCGACCCCCATGTATGCTTTAATGTTGCTGTGTGCTGTTAAACGGCTGCACGTCCCACCTCAGCAGTGTTTACATTTCACTGGTGTGTGGAGAGATTCCTGTATAGCGGAAAAAGCACTTTAAGAACTTGTCAGATGACTAATACTATAGGCATGTAGGGCGTTATCATTACGATAGCAGCAGGTGCCAGGTAAGGGGTGAACAAATGGTTTGATTAAATTTACACAGGTCTCTTATGCGTATCGTATGTATATTATTTTCCCTCTGTGACTCCAGCCAAGAAAGTTCAGTTTGCTGCCTAAATTGCTTAATCCCAAAGAATAACGAGTCTCATAATACCAGGAGTTCCTCACCATTTTAAATACAGAAGCAGGATTGGGAGGAGATGAGGAGAACCAGAAGGAATGACATCTTTGTCTAATTCAGTCATCAGTGGTGGTGACAGGTTTCCACGGTGTGGGGGTCACTTAGCTGGCACTGGCAGGACACCTCTCCACTAGGCACTGAAGTAGCACAGCTTTGAGAAGTTTCACTGTTGTCTCTCTAGCCTGGACGCTCACAGGGGGAGAATCTTAATGGTGTTCAAGTCTATTTGGTGCCACTAAAATTGAGAAATTATTGCAGGGGAGAAGAGGATAGAGAGAGAATGGAAACCACAAAGGGCAAAAGGCAAAAAACATTGACCCTGGGGGGAGAAGTGCAAAAAAGAGGGCACTGGTCATTGTTTGTCTGCTTGCTTGCTTATTTATTTGTATTACAGTTGTGCCTAATAAACTGGGGGCCATTATTGCTCAGCAGTGTACAGATCCATAGTGAGAGGCGGAGCCTGCCTCCAAGAGCTTAGAATCTAAATGGACATGACAGATAAAGGGTGGGAGGGAAAATCAAGGCCTAGAGAGGTGAAATGACTGGTCCAAGGTCATACAACACATTGTCTGCCAAAAACAGAATCTAGGTCTCCTGAGTCCTAAGTTAGTGCCCCATCTACTGCACCACACTGCTGCGTACGGAATGGGAGTGAGAGCAGTCGTAGTTGCAGTAGTTCCATGTTGGTGGTGATACAGGGTCTTTCTCTGTAGTCTATTGACTTCAAACCAGAGATGCAACAGCCCCTTTGGCAAGGGAGGGAAGAGGAGGTACGGAGAGACTGAGCAAACAGGTACATGTGTGTGTTCTTCCTCAGGGTCTTCTACAAGGTGAAAAGCCGCAGTGCTCACATGAAGAGCCACGCGGAACAGGAGAAGAAGGCAGCAGCATTGAAACAGCGAGAGAAAGAGGCGGCGGCGGCGGCGGCAGCAGCAGCGCAGCGGGAGGAGAGCAGTGACGAGGGGAGCAGCAGCAGTGACAGCAGTGGCAGTGGCAGCTCGGATGAGGATGGGGAGATTTAGCCATAGCCCTGGGGAAGTCGAGGGAGTAGCAAGGCTGGACCCCACCTCTCTCTCGGTGTGTTTGCCTCCATTCCTGCACTTTCCTTATCTGGACTGAGTTATACTAGGCTTCTGTCCATTGCTGCCATTTCCTCATCCCACATTCTGCACCTCACCCTGTCAGTATAGACTGAGCCAAATCAGTGGATAAAGAGATTTGTGTGAACTTGGATATTCTTTTTTACAAATCAAATTTCTATTTTATTTATAAAGGTACCTGAGGTACGTAATAGAACAATGTCATCAGGAGCGGAATTCAGTTCTCCTGCGGATCAGTCAGGGCTTTCTCCTTGTGCTTGCCAAGAATCATGGCAACGAGACTCTTGAGTATAAAGGCTTCCAGACCTGAGCAAGAAAAAGATGCTCTGCCCTGAGACTGTCTGCATCTAGTTACTGTGACACCGGTGTTTTGTAGTGATTTCCTTCCATAGCAAATTGCCTGTCACTGCCCTTCCCGCTTTCCTCTCCGAGTGCTATCCAGGCTCTTAGCAAGTTCTGTGGAAATATGAGACATACCCTGGGTCACTGTATGACAGAAGTGTGAGGGGGAGGGGTGAAGAACAATTCACCCCACCCCTCTCCTCTGAGAGCAGATTTCTATTTTCCTGTAGCAAGGGGATGCCTGATATTTCCTGTGCCATTAAGAGTTCAGTAGAGGACATATAGCATCCTGTGAGATAAGAGTAGCCACAAACCTTAAAGATCTGGCCACATTGTGTACAGGAAGCGAAGTAGTTATTGGGTCACTTTTAGAAGAATTTGCCCCCTCACAAGTGCAATTTGAAAGGCCTCTATCGATCACATCTGGCTTTAACTCATTACAAAAGGGAGCAAGGTTGTTATGAGACTTGACTCAAGACACGTTTTTTGCATTGTGCACGCCTCACAGAGATGGGAAGGGTGGACTTGGATCTCTTCCTTAGGCTTCTTTACTCCCTTCCACAAAGGGCCATTATGCAGGAAGATGCCCATTTTCCCTTTACCCATCCCTTTAAATGGCCACCTACAGGAGTTACACTGCAGAAGCTCTGTGTCCTTCCATTCATTCCTTTGCAGATGTGTTTGGACTGCACAGAATGCTGGGCTATTCCATCATGGCCCCCTTCCCAGTGAAATGTAGACTCTTCATGCAGAGCTGGCATTGAAATAGCCAAAAGTCTAGGCAGCTAGGCCTGTATCAAAGCAAAGTGTTAAGAGAAAGCAAAAATAGGTCAGCTGAATGCTAAAATTGCACAGAATTTGTCTGTACGTATATACATAGTGTTCACATACCTTTATTTCATAAAACTAAAAAATCCAGTGTAGTTGCAGCTGTGTTGGTCCCAGGATATTAGACAAGGTGGGTGAGGTATTCTCTTGTATTGGACCAACTTCTGTTGGTGAGAGAGACAAGCTTTCAAGCAGGGGTGCAGTATGCAGTACCAGCAAGAGATTTATTATTACTCTGCTCCTTAAAGGAGCAGAACGCAGCTAGGGAGGACATTCACTCTTTATATGGCTTTAACAGCACAATATAAAGTTTGTTAGCATATATAGTGTGCTGTTACGTTGGTCAGGAGTTTTCAAGAGGGGAGAGGTGGGGGGACGAAAGGTGTTTAAACAATGTTTTTGATTCTGTTTCTCCCCATTGGTCTGAATTATCCATGACATCCACACTGCATCACATCAAGTCCAAATCATTAGAGGAATGCCTCTGCTTGCACTGACCAGTGGATGTTTGGATTCTGATGTCAGCCCAGTTCTGCAGTCTGATGGGAATCAGGTGTTGTCCCCAGTGTACATACAATTCCTTTATGCAGCCAAACTAGTCTAACATGCATTTTGCTAACTGGAACTGGAGCAGCAAAACAAAGAAAACAAATGCCTTATTTTCCAGCTTTGTGGGTGAGAGAACTATAAGTGAAGATTATAATGCCGGACACTGACAGCCTTAAACCAGCTGCCTCAGGAATCTGACAAGAACTCTACTGAAAATATGTTACTCATCTTAGCAGTGGAGCTAAGACTTATCACACATTTGCCCACCTTTATTTAAATGAAGCTCCTTCTGATCTGACAGCTTAGGCATTGTCAGTTTCACCCAGAACAATTTACAAACTTGGAACCTAATCCTGTAAACCCCTTAATCATTTGATCAATCCCATTAAAGATAATGGGACTATTTGCATGACTATGGACCACTTTTGGGGGCTGGTAAAAGTTTCAGGAGTCTGTTCCTATAAAGGAAGTTGAATTCCTCATTGAAATGCAATGTTTGGGTACCATAAATTTTGTCTTTTAATAAGTCATACGTGGGCTGAAATGGCTCCTCACCCAACTCCCATATTCCATATAAACAGACTGAATCCTACATATTTGGGGGGAAAGTGAGTAGTTAACCATGTTGATGTTTGTATATACAAAGGGGAGGTATCAGAGGGGACGGAGAGCGTGGGGGCCCCAAGCTCGGGGTGGGGAGGAGTCACTTGGGGAGGTCACGTGCCCCCCCCCCTTGTGTCCCTCCCATGAGTGCAGTACCAGCAAGAAATTATTTCTACTTGCACCACTGCTTTCGAGCCACACAGAGCTCTTCTTTTTCTGAAGAGCTCTGTGTGGGTCAAAAGCTTGTCTCTCCAACAGAAGTTGGCCCATACAAGATAATACCTCACCCACCTTGTCTCTCTATAAAGAATCCAGTTGTTTCCTTGTGCTGCATCCATTGCAGAAGAGAGTAACTGGCTCCTTTCATGGCCTCTGCCCTTCATTATAAGTATAGGGAGAAGAAATGGGGAGATCGGCAGGAGCCAGTGAGAATAACTGAAGAGGCAAATTGGATTTAGTGGCAACAACACCCTGCAGTGAAGCCTCCGTAGTACTGTGAAGCATTTGTATCTGCAGGCAGCCAGTTCTCACTCCCACCTCCGGAGGAACATCATGTGCTGATATTTATGTGGCACTTAACTGCATGAGCAAAGAGCAGTAGTTTGTAATAAAATGTTTAAATGTGGCAGTGAATTGCCAGTTTTCTGATGCTAGTGCAATGCACATCGGATCACGTGCAGTTCAGTAGTGGCATCTGGTGGTAAGATAAGTTAATTGCCTGTGCATTCCTGAGCAGTGCTGCTTGGCTAGTTCCAGTAGATGACAGCAGGTTGTCCCTGATCTGGCTGACTTGCAATAGGCTCTCCAAGCTGCTGGATAAGTTTCAGGTAAGAATGCCTTTGTGCTTGTTCATGCCTTGTGCTTGTTCAACTACAATTTAATATAGTTCAGATTCCAGCCTGTCACCTGCCTGTCCTGGCTCTTTTGCCCCCTGGCACCAGAGCCTCCTCCACAGACCTTGGGAGCATCTCCTTTTTTGGCAGCTACAGTTGTTTCACTGCCTAATTAAGTCCTCAAGCCATATATTTGATACCCTACTCTTTAAGCTGTTCATCTTTGCACAGCTCCTTTTCCTTAGTTAGGAAGGCTTCTTCCTTTATAATAAAAATAAATATAGTTAATTGACTAGTATTTTTTAAATGTTAATCATTTTAATTGACAAGAAATGCCCCCTCTTTCCACCCGCATATTTAGCTTCTGTAACTAGCCTGGGCTTATACCAGTTTGGGGATCAAAAAGCCGGCTTCCAGTCCAGAATCCAGATCTCCGTGTGCAATCCTATAAAACCCATTTGTCACTGTGTGAACTGGTCTGGACTGGAATGTGGAAGCAGATTGCCTGTCACCTGCTATTAATTATTCATTAGCAAACTGCAGAGAACCAAAAGCAAATAATTTTCACAAGAAACGCTCAAGCAGCAAATCTTAAGAATTTAAATATTAATTATTAATAAAGAATATTTTTATTTGAAAATTGGGCACACTCTGCATGCTCTGTGCTATCCCAGCAGTGCTGTAAATAACTGAATATTTGGAGTGCTGTGTCAAGGAGAGAAAAAAGTCAAGTAGCTGTGTATTATGTTCTACTCAAAATAAGTCACTTCTGAATTCTTCACATCTGCTAATGATCCATTTTCAGGGTTGGACGTAAATTCCAGTAAAAGGTTACAATGCCATTAAGCCTTAAAATGGCAGTTCTTTCCAGAAGATTGGAAAATCACTAATAAATGCCAGACTCTGGGAATTAGAGAGCAATGCAGCAGTTTAAAAAGCAAATAGGACGATTAGGTGCATTTTAAAAGGGATTGAAAATAATGCAGAACATATACCATCATATTGAACACCTGGAGTACTCTGTCCTGTTATAAAGTGGAGATCAAAAAGGCCCAGAAATAAGCAACAAAAATAAGTGGAGATACAGCTGGACTTATATGGGCTGAGAGAGAGAGCAGTCACTAGGATCATTGTGTTGGAGAGGAGGCTTGATTTGAGGTATTGAAAATTATGAAAGTTATAAAGGGAAACTTATCAGTCTCTCTCCTTTATTCCATAATAATGGAACAAGGGAACAATCTCTAAAATTCAAGGGCAGTGCAGTTAGAACAAATACAAAGAAATACAACAGCATGTAGCCACTCTGGAAATCATGACGTCAGATACCCTGGCAGGATTTCAGAAAGGGCTATATAATATCACAACCTCTAGAATTCTTAGCTAGGAAAATTAAGATACGGCTAAGTAAATTGTATGGGTCAGAAAATGTTCTTTTGCTTTCCCAGTGAGAACAGTGCAGAGTTAGCTAGGTGAGTTGTTCTTTACCTTCCCCTGAAGCTAGGTAAAAATTCCAAACTAGATGAATCATTAATCTGCTCTGCTGTGGAAAATCCTCCATATAGGACAGGGATTCTGGGACACACCGTCTAATGTGCCCCCAAAATGCCTTCCTTTCTGAACAGAAATTAAATACAGTTCTTTTATCTCTTACGCTCCTTCCCTGATTATGCCCTGAGTAAAATGATTTAGTATTTTTAAAATGCTCCCAAAGTATGCTTGGTGCTTTAAAGAACAAAGTCTAGTCACTGCCAGGAAGAACTCGCAGTCTGGTTGTAGCTATGACATGGCAAATGATGGTAGTGGTCAGTCAGGAGGGGAAGGGGTGAGGAAGTACAGGGTGAAACAACCAGATCATGCAATTACTCTATGCATTGACTTAGTCTTCCTTATGGGATTAATAGCAAGTTCTATTTCTAGGAGCCAGTAGACTAGCTCCTTACTTAGATTTTCTTTACCTCTTTCTCTTATACCAGGGGACATCCATCTAGACATGGGCGCTGATTGATTTTGCTCTGTAGAAAGGTTTTTTTTTTTTTTTTTTAATGCACAAAATTAGTGGATTTATTAGATATTAATGAATCAAACATTGGTTGTTTTTTCATCCATGCAGATATCTTCTCTCCTAACCTTTTGCAGCTTGTCAGTCTGTTCTAATTCAGTGTGTTTGGAGGTGGAATAGGTAGAGTTAGTACGTTTGGTGGGGGTTGCTTAACAGAGAGTGCCTTTTCTATGGGAACAAATTCAATGTTTAAATAAAATCCCCTTGTAGATTGCAATTCTGCATGTGTAAACAGGCTAGTGTAATAGCCTTTTCACTGTTGGAGGTCAAGTGAGAATGTAAACCTACTTGCTATTTGGCCATATTTTAAACATTACCCATTTGAATCTACCAGACACTGGATGCCATTGAGGTGTACTGACAGGGTGCATGTGGGAAATCTTCTCTTTTGCCTTCCTACAGTGTTCCTGGCTTTATAAGCACTCAGTATTACACCTGCTGTCTGGTGTGATCTGCATAGGGACAGCATTTCAGTTTTGTAGCAGTGTGTTTGTTTCTATAGCTGTAGTTATATAAGGAGAGATGCAAATCTACTGTAGCTCTGGTATGTTGCAATTTAGCTGCAATTCCACATTTTTATTTATTCAGCACAGTTATATTTCGGGCTGGACTGAACAGGTAAAACTGATCTGAGAGTACTTGGCTCTGAGGAAAATGTATCTCAAGTCTACCAAGATGCTACAAAATAATAACAAACAAATGAAAAAGCCTACCGTGGCACATAGTGTTTTGAATGGCTATGCAGGGGTAAATATGTTTACTAGCGTGGTATTTGATAGCTAGAGACTAGTAGAAACACAGCTATATGACAGCAGGTAAAGGGTAACTTTGAAATCTGAACCTAAAGTGTCTGTTAAAAATATCTGTTCATCTCTATGATGATGTTGAAATGTGAAATTAAAATTAGCTAACCAGATTTCTGGGTGGCTGATTTTTATTTATTGACTTTAAGAATTTAATTGGATGAAGCTTTTAGTTATAGTACACTAAGATTAAGAATAAAGTGGCTGACACACAAAAACAAGTGTTTCCTAAGCCACACAGAATGCACCTTTTTACAAATGTCTCTGCCTGTTAGCTGGTGTACCCATTCTACCAGTCACTGGTCTAGAAAATCATAATGATATAGAAGTCTCCTGCTTTTAAAGTAAATATTGTGTGGATT